CAAACAAACAACAACAAACTCCCTATGTATGGCCTCTACCCAATGCAAAAAATAAAGATAATATAAAAATAGAATTTGAGATTTTATACAATGAGAAAAATAAAATCTCATAGGTATAAAGAAACAGTAGGATGGAATTCACACCTGAAAAATGGCAGTGAAAAGAGATACAGTACTTTATTCCAAAGAAACAGAACTACGGTAAGTTCTGATGTGCAGCTGGAAAAGGGTTGCTGGTCATAGGACACGTGTTCATGGGGAAACTGCTTCTGTCCTAGCATTTGTAAAATTTGGGAAGGAAAAGAGGAAGGACAGGAGCTGGGAGAGGAGGAAGGAAAGAAGATAAGAAGAGGCAAAAGAAAGTAAGTGGGAGGAATAAAATAAAAACAAAAGAAAATGATAGAATGAAAGTCAGAGTAGCACTTTATATCACGAAGATAGAGTCTTGTATGGGATTTTAATATCCTTGAGAGTAGAAAGAATGGAATTATTTAGGTAAAGATAAAGGAGAGGAACAGAAGTGATATCATTGTAAAAAAATGTGTCAGAGGCTAACAAAACAGATAAACAAACTGGATTATAGATCCCAGGAACAAATAATGAAACTGGCATAAAGCCAAGTTCCAGAAGACAGGGGAAAGTTGGTTCAATGTAAATGTCATCCCTCAGAAGGAAGAGGATGGCATAACAGAAATTACTCTTCTGGATCTAATTCTGACCATAAAGATGAAATTGATTTGTGAAATGGAAGTAAGGAAAATCTTGAGAGAAAGTAAGCATTCCATTGAGTTCCTTAAAGTCAAAGAGATAAAGTGAAGTATGTGGGTAGGACTATGAAAAATCTGACTTCAAATATTTAAAAGATATGATTTTCATAGCTTGATACTCTATGCAAGAAAAGGCTTAAAGAAGGTGAAATTCAGTCAGAAATTCAGTCAGTCACTTACTTTGGAGCTCAGTGAAGAGAAGTGGTGGAATGGCTAAAGGGACCTCTCCAATGACCTCACATTTAGAGATATCAGGCAGAAAGTAGGCATAAGAGAGTGGTATTTATATTTCAACACTTTCAAAAGCACAAGCCATAAGTCAAAAACTGGAGTTTGATTATAAAAAATTAAGAATTTCTGTTCCCAAAAGGGCATTATTAACAAAGTTAACAGGCAGATGGCAGAATGGAGAAAATATTTGCTTTGTCTAACACTGACAAGGGTGTAATATCATCCTAGAATATACAAGTAACTACTGCAAATGAACAGGAAAAAGACAGCAACCCAAGAGGGAAAAAAACGACCAAAGTTTATGAGCAAGCAATTTACTGAAGAGAAGATCTCACTTCATTCCTACTAAACCAGCAAAAATCTAGAAAACTACAAGTATTGTCAGGCATGTGGAACTACAGAATCTTACACTGCTTTAAGACTGGTTCCACCACTTTTGGAAAGCAAGCTGGCATTACTTGAACGCATTAAATAGATTCATAGCTAGTAGACTAGCAATTCTTCTCCTAAGTAATATAAAACAAATTCTTTGCAAGTCTAAAAGGGGACTAATACAAGGATGTTCCTGCAGGGTTGTTTGTAGTAGCAAGGAATTGGAGGCAACAGGGGAGTTTGTCATTGGAAGAGTGGACAGGTATAACATGGTTGATTCACACTGGTAGGCATCAGTGTGAAGTAACGACTGAATGTTAACATCTGGCAATGGGGATGGCGTGAAAAACAGTGCTTAGGTTTAAAAAAAAATATATATAGACTGAGGCATATATCTCAGTAGCTTTGGAGTATATTTAAAAATACATGCCCCCAAAATAACTATGTTTAGAAAACACATAAACAAAAATATGCACATTAAGCACATTAGAAAATTGCCTACTGTAGGGAGAAAAATGGTGTGGAGATGAAAGGTATAAATAAATAAAACAAGAGGGCCTTTACTTGCAGGGACCAATGATGGTGTGCCACAAACTGAGAAGTATGGTTAACTCAATCCTTTGAGGAACAAAAAACTTTAAAACAGAACATAGCTAAACACAAATATAAGCACCTGGACGATGGAGGAAAAATTTGCAAAAAATCTGACAGCAAAACGGGCTCATTATACATTAAACTGAATAATTAAGAGGAGGCCACTAACTAGTAATAGATGCCTCAGGGGCTTCCCTAGGAGTTCAGGGCTCTGGATACTCCCCCTTCACTCCTATCAGAACAGCTTTGCTTTTATTTGGTTAGTACATCAGGATCCTGTTGAAAATTTCATGGAGGAAATAGCACTACAGCACTTCCTGTGGCCTGACAACTATGTGAAGGATTACAAAATGAATCACAGACTAGTGGGGAAAACAGAAAAGTAAATAAATTCTAAAACAACAAGGGAGTAAAGTGATAGGAAAACGCACAAGTTATGGGAACTCAAAGTCCAAAAACCCCTTGAACCCCAGGGGATCAAGGGAGGTTTCCTAGAGTAGGTAACGGGAAAGGAAGGCAAGGCAGCTCAGACGACACTGCTGTTGTTCAATGGCGGGAAGAGGAGCCAACAATTACATAATTCCCTAAAAATAGGGCTATCACTTAGAAAAAGGCTGCGGATCCAGCAAGACAGGGAGCTGTGCAGGTTCGATGGGATGGGCAGAGGCCTCCGCCCCTATCCCATCCTCCGCCTTAGGAGCGCGCATCTCAACAGTTCCCCTCGGCTGGGAGGGTATCCCAAGCCCCAAGGTCCGCAACTCCCGCTGGTGGGCAGGGCCGCCCCATCAGTCTCCCAGAAATAGATTGTGTTCCCCCGAGGTGGTTTGACGAAGGCAATCCGGCCGGAGCGGGGCGGCCAAGGACAAGGCGCTCATTGGTTGCCACGGCGGCGACCGGCGCGCTGAGGAAGGCTGATTGGTTGCAGGTTCTCAGCGCGGCCACACCCATCTCCTCTCTGAGTCCAACCGGGTCCGGAGCGCCCCAGTGTCACGGGTGGTTTGTACGTGCGGCGTCGCTGCGCCGGGCCTGGAAACGTGGCGTTAGCGTCGGCTTTTGGTGCAAGGGAGCCAAAGGCCGGGTCGTAGCCTGTGGCCGGGAATTCCTGGGCACCCTTTCCACATTTTCCGTCCTTGGTAACCCCAGAACCTGGTTGCACACTCTCCGGCGACAAGTGGTTTTGCATCCGGAAATGAAAGGAGACTGGGAAGTGACGAGCACTTTCAGAGTGACTTCTGGTTAATGCATTTTCAGAGGTTTTCGCGGACCCTAGGGGCGCTCTGTGTATCCGGGGACCAGGGCAGAAGCCACGGCAAGGGAGACGCAGCCGGGGCGGTGGCTTTTCGTGCGAGTCCCCCTCGCCTCGTTAATGCCTGACGCCAGGCCTCCTGGAACCCACCGCCTTCAATGAGAAAGTGCTCGACCTTGAGAGGACACTTCTAGGTCACTCGGCCTGCTTTTCTAGCATTCCCGGCCCCAAGTCCTACCACCCGTGTTGAACGCACCATTTCTACGACAATAGGCGATGCCTCTTGCCTGGAATTGTCGCCCTGAGCATCCAGCCCTCCTCCCCCGTTTTCTGCCTTGCAACTGCTGCGCCTTACTTTTTTAATGGCTCAGCTAGTACGGGTATCATCTCGGTGTAAAGCCTGCCCCATTCTTCTGGACTTCCTTAGGAGTGCAGGCTCTGGAACCTGCGAGCGCGCTTGAGTTAGAATCGCGGCCATTTCAAATGGTGTGTGATTTTGAGCAAGTTACTTAAAGTCTATGAGTTTCATTTTTTTTTTTTAATCTCAAAATGGAGGTAATACTAGTACCTCATAATGTTTTGTGAGGATTAAATATAAAGCTCTTAGAACATAAGTGCTTTGTAAATGTGAGCTATTATCATCTGTGCTCCCAAAGTTATTTATATAGGCCTCTTACACAGTGCTTGCCCTTCTGTTACATTATTAGTTCCTGTCTGCCTCCTTAAAAGCTGGAACTGTGCCTTGTTTATAATCTCAGTGTCCAGGAGTTCTGGGCAAATGTAAAGAAATTATTCCTGAAAAAACTTTCTCAGAAACACCTTTTCTTCTCCTTTCCCTTTCCTTCACTTTTTCTCTTTGAGACAGGAATTTTCAAACCTACAGAAGAAGCTGAGATCCCAGGGGAAAGACAGGCACTTTTTTGTTCTCCATGGTGATAAGAGGGCCCTAACATTCCTCTCAGCTTGACAACTTTAGACAGATTTCTTCTTAACATAGACCCTTGACTTCCCTTTTCTTAGAGCATGTACTTTAGGAAACTTGTAATTGCAAATTCTTTCTCTGCCCCTTTGAAATGTATATAAATCTCCTTAGAAGCTTATTGCCAGTTTTATGACCTATGGAATGTCTTTCTCAAGGACCTGGGAGCCATCCCTTTGAAATGTAATCATCAAGGAAGATAGCGCCCCTATCTCTCAGTGTCGTGAACTGGTAGGAGCCTAATGCAGTAGCTTGGGCACCTTGTTCCAAATTGTAAAACTACTGCTTGTCTTAAAAGATTCGAGAAAGTTTCCTTTCCCTTTCCCTTTGCAATTAACATGGGTGTCATGTGAGTCAAGCCTACTGAAGCTCTTAAAAACTCCCCAGCCCCTTGTTTCAGCGGAATTCAGTTTACTCTCCTATTGCAATAGTTTTAAAGTCTTTTTTTTTTTATTTTGGCATATTATGGGGGTACAGATTTTAAGGTTTCAATAAATGCCCATTTTTTTTGTCCAATTTTGATGCAGTTTTTCTTTGGCAATGGAAATCTTTAGGTTCTGCATTTATTGTTTCTTCCTGATTTCAGTGGTGTATCATTTCTTCCTCCTTGCTAAGAAGAGCTTCTCACATTCTCTGATTTCTAGAGAAATCAATTTGGACTCAAAAGATAAGAGTTTTGTGAAATGAAGGGACTGTTTTAAGTCATTGTTGCACAGGGTAGTATGTGATTTGCAGGATGTAGAAAGGGTAGTATGTCTACTTGACAGCGTCTCAAATGAGGTCCATTCATATTATGAAAGTGCACTGGAAAATAAAGGGCATACCCTTATTTATTAATATTATGAAAGGGACATGAGAAAAGTACAATTTCAAAGGAAAGAACTGCTGAGAATGTAGTGGCCTCTCAAAGAAAGCTAGGCTTGGTTAAGGAGAGAAATCAGAGTAAGCCAGAGAGGACAAGATTGTAAACAGACCTCTGCAATGGTGGAGGTAGTGTGGAGAGCTCTTCCTTAAAGTAGAGGGAATGAAATGGATTCATTTAAGATGAGGAGGTAGGGTGGAATAGGATTGAATTGGAATGAAATGAACGATGTAAGAGAAAAAGGAAGGCAGTGGGGTAGCGGAGGAGGAGTTAATTTGGGGTATGGTGACAGGGAAGAAAGGAAACTGGTAGCCTTAGCAGCCTGGTATAGGCACTTACTACTTGCATGGGAAGGGAAATATCAGGCAAGCAGTCCTGTTACTAAAGGAAACTAGAGGATTTTAGGAAAAGGGGTTTGGCACACTGGCTTCTCCTGCCCTGCCCCCAACAACACAAAGCACAAACAAACTGAGTGCAGTGTTGGCATTTAGTGCCACCACAAATGCTCCATTATTGGCTAGTGGGGGCTAAGAAGACAGAGTTCAGGCTGCTGATCTTCTTTTCTCTGACTTTTCCTAATGTCAACACTGCTTCCTAATTCCCTTTTTCTCACTTCTTCACTTTTTCTCATGGGAGTGGGGTGGATGAGGGCAAATCCAGGAAATGAGAATGGAATGTGAGAAAGAAAAACAAACTAAAACAATAAGTTGAAAGAGAGAGAGTTTAATCCTAGATGTATATGCAAAGCTCAGGCTGAGGAATAGCATGTAAAACTATTATACAAATAGAATGAAATGGAATTTAATTAATTTATTTATTGAATGCTGTTGTGAGAACCTGGAGGGGAAAAAAAAAAGAAACTAAACGAAAGTCTCAAATTCTCCTGAGGAAGGTCCAAGAGAACACAATCTGGAAGTGAAGTCAGAGAGATAACCATTGGACATCAGGAGGAATTTCCAGGTCTGAATCTAGTGCCAAGGAAGCCATGAATGCTCTTTCCTAGAGCCTTTTAGCATTGGAGAGTTATGTGCCTGTCAGGGTTAGGGAAAGGGGTTCTCATCCCACCCCAGGGGAAGGAGCTTCCCCTCCAGGGCCTTCCTGCTAGACAGACTCTACCGGGGCAGGCTGCTTCTTCCAAGGGCCCTCGCCATGGCCCCCTTCATTTCCTTGTTGCGGAAACTGTAGATGATGGGGTTGCACATGGGGATGATGATGGTGTAGAGGAGGGAGAAAGGTTTGTCTTTGTCAGGCCCATGTGTGCTGCGGGGATTCATGTAAGAGAACATAGCTGAGGTGTACAAAAAGATGACCACGGTCAAGTGGGAGGCACAAGTAGAGAAGGTCTTCCCCCGACCTGAGGAGGAAGCTCTGCCGAGGATAGAGGCCAGGATGCGGGCATAGGAGGTGACAATGAGCACCATGGGACTGAGCAGCACCACGATGGCATCAGCAAAGATCATCCTCACACTAAACTGAAGGTCCCCACAAGAGAGGGCGATCACTATGGGGGCCTCACAGAAGAAGTTTTCTATGTGGTTGTCCCTGCAGAAAGGATTCCGGAATGATATATACTCAAGAAAGATGCCATTGATGAGCCCAAAGAGCCAGGCAGTACCCACCAGCCTGACACAGACCTGCTGGCCCATGATCTGAGCATAGCTAAGCGGGTGGCAGATAGCAACATAACGGTCATAGGCCATAAAAGCCAAGAGGATGCATTCAGTCACACCCACGCAGAAGACCAAGTACATTTGGGCCATGCAAGAGACAAAAGAGACAGTGTGGTTCTTGACCACCAGGTGGATCAACATCTGCGGGATGGTAGTGGTGATGAAGCAGACATCCAGGAGAGACAGGTGGCCAAGGAAGAAGTACATGGGGCTGTTGAGCCTGGGGTCTGTCCAGGTGATGAAGATGATGAGGCCATTCATGGCTATGGCAAGGCTGTAGAGGACCAGGAAGAGGGCAAACAGCAATGCCCTAGTGGAAGGGGAGCTGTGCTCAAAACCCACGAGGATAAACTCTGTCACTGTGCTGCTGCTATTCCTTAGGCTCGCCATCTGGGACCTGCTTGAGGAGGGAGGACAGGAGAAGCACAATGTAGATAGCTGTAGGGTAATATAAGTTCCTCACTTGGGCCCAGAAACCCAACTATTAATAGCTGGGTCCAGGATCCATGCCAAATTAAGAAACATTTAAGGAATTGAGGAATGGGGTGTTTGAAGGTAGGGAATGGTGGCTATTAGCTTACAGAAGATCATATTTAGGAAGTGCTTGAGAGATATTTGAAGGTGTATTTTTCCAGAAGGAAAAAATGTTCAGTCTCTGTGTACCTAATTTAAAATGATGAATGGGTTGAAGTGTCAGGGAAAATAAAAAACATTCTAATCCTCTGGATGGTCCCTCAGGTGAGAGTGATTCGCACGTTTCTGGAGACAGTCAGGCCTAGCACCTCTCAGTCTTCTTCTTCCCAGACTCACTTTCCCAGCAGTTGCTGCTGCTACATCACCCACCCATGCTGTGTATGCTGGGTATGGGGCCTGGATGAGAGCTCTTGCATGCTTTCCCAGCAGGAGACAGTTTCCCTCCTGGGATCAGAATTTAGATTTACACACTATTGGGTGGACAGGACCCAACCATCCCTGTGAGAAAAGGGGAGCTATGAGCAGGGCAAAACTCCCACCTTTCTGGAATAGACCCTTCAGGGAACTTTAATCTGTCCCTTTGCCTCTTGTTCTTTTTCCATCTTCAAAGAATGAGTATTCACAATTCTCATCCACTTACCTAACTATTGCAACTTTTAGGAAGTTGTTATGTTCATATTACATCTCTCTTATACTTTTCATCTTGTTTTGGAGTTGGGATGTATCAGATCCTTATCACTTTCACATGCTTATAGATTAGTATGTTCTTTCTTGACTTTCAATTCTGGCAACCACTATTTTCTCTTATCCTATTCCATTTCTATAGACAGTCCCTCTACTCTCTCTGTTGGTCTTTTTTTCTTTTCTCTACCTACTTCCAATCTTTACACTTTTCTTCTCCCTTTCCCTTTCCCATCTTTGGTGATGGTTGCCTGCCATTCATCTAACTCTGGTTGAACTCCCCTCTCTTTTCCATGCCTTGCACTCTCTCATATTCTTTATCTTCAGCTTATTTATTTATTTTTGAGACAGGGTCTCACTTTGCTGCCCAGGCTAGAATGCAGTGGTATCATCATAACTCACAGCAACCTCAAACTCTTGAGCTCAAGCGATCCTCCTGTCTCAGCCTCCTGAGTAGCTGGATCTATAGGTACATGCTATCATGCCTAGCTAATTTTTTAATTTTTTTGTAGACATAGGGTCTTGCTATGTTGTCCAGGCAGGTCTTGAATTCCTGGCCTCAAGTGATCCTCCTGCCTTGGCCTCCCAGAGTACTGGGATTGCATGCATGAGCCACCAAGCCTGGCCTGCATTTTAGAAGGTACCTGCCCTATCACTGTCACTCCTTGCATCTCTAGATTCCCTCCAGGTGTGATTTCACAGTAGATTAAGGCAGTGTCTGGGCAGTAGGCCATTCCTATTATCTTTACTTTGGGATGTTTTTCTTATACCTAGAACTTCTCTTGGGGACCAAGAAAGGGAAGGCAGGGCAGAGAGCACTGTTTAAGACATGGCTTTGAAGCCTGTGCTCAGTAGACGTGTTGAGACTTAAGGTCAGAGTCTGGGCGAAATATGTCAGTGATATACAGTGCAGAGAAGCCTGGGACTTGTCCAAGAATAAATTGAGGGTTGACCTGAGGAATCATTGGGGCCTACTGGAGGATAAATGCTTATCTATGATTCCTTGTGCCAGAAAGGATTCTGTGACACCTAGCATCCAGTGCCTTGTTAGCTACCATTAGGAGTTAACCAGTCAAATATTTGTCTGAAAAAATGGGACAATATCATGGAAATGACATCCTACCTCATTCTGTTGCTTGGCTGATAATGATGTTTATCACTGAATCACTGTGGCAAGTAACAGAAATGATCCCATGGTGTTTGAAGAGGAGTTGGTGTAGGGAGGATGGTCTGACTTGGTGGGCCACTCTGAAAGAGAAGGTATGTCTGATGACCTTGTTAGTTCTTTGACCAATATATACTATTAGACATGAATGTTTACTTAAATAATATTACTAAGTTACATGTGTATACACTTTATAGCATAGGTGTGAAACCTTACATGCCCTATATACCATTTGCTAATAATCTTATTCTGCCCCTCTTTTTCATATTGTATGTTTGGACCTTTTCAGACTTTTAAAATTTTATCTCAGTGCTAACAAATTGAATTCTAACACTTTCACTTGAAAATTACATGCCTTCCTGTAAGTTGAAAAAAATCCCAGCAAGAAAATAAGAAGAAAACATTAATTCCTTTATTCCTTTAGCCACAGATAAGTACATATTATTCTGTAACATAAAACTTGTCCTTGTAAATATTACTTCTGACAAGGAATCTTCCAAGAATGGACTTCAGAAATTGTTGCTATGTCTTCTAAAATGAATCTTAAACCTCTAAAATGTAATTTTTATTAGTTAATTAATGACTATTGTAATATCTAAATTGATACTTATGTTTTCTGAAAGGTATACAGTATATACTTGTTAGATTTCTTTGTTAAGTTAAAATAGGATCATAGTATTTTTTTTTCTGATGAATATGCAAAGATAAAATAAAAATACACCCATTACTCCTTGGATATCCTATTGAAAGAGTTGAAGGTTTATGATCTTATTTAATAGTAGTTTACAAAATACTTCATATACTTTATGACATTTGAATCTTTATTTTATTATTGTATCTTAATGATGTAATGTAATCTCATTGAAGAACTTTTGATAAATTATGTTGGACAATGTACCTAAACACAGTTTGGCAAGGAGAAAAGAAGAGGGACTGAATTTTCAGCTGTGGGTCTAGAGTGGTGTCATAGTTGATATAATTAACCCCCCTCAAAATCCCAAACAATTTTTATTAGTAATATTATCACATATGTGGAAATAAAATTGTAAATGAAGATGATAGAGGTTTGGTTATAACTAAATGAAATTCAAAGTCATAATAACGCCTGGCAGATCCTGGATGGAAAGAATTCTAGTGCTCCACATATTTGCATTCTCAAAGTACTGCACAGGTGAGTTAAGGGAGAGAAGTCTATATTCCATCACTACAGGAGCACAATGGACCTAATTATCCTATGGTTCTGATCCATTTTAGAACCATCTAGAAGCAAAATTAAAACTGCCCAACAGTTCCAAGAAGCTGTCAAAAGAGCAGTGATTTGTTCTGGGGGAGCAGCCACATGAGGGTGGAAGTAGTCTTACTTACTACATCTCTGGTTAACCATATACTTCATGGGTTAAGAGAATAAAATGCTGGATACTGTTAGGAGTAGGGTAGGGTAGGGAGCAAGTTCTTCCATATGGAGGGAATTGTAATAACATAAAACTCTTGACATTTCTTTTTTTTTTTTTTTTTTTTCTTTTGTTGACTTGGATGCGGAGAACTCTTGACATTTCTCTTCACCATCCCACAGGAGGTGGAGTGGCTTACCTGATTGGTGATTTTGAAAGATTTTGAGCACATATGTTCTATCCCTTTCCTCTCACCTTCCTCTTGGAAGTGAATGGACTTCTCTAGGGCAAGCTCTGCCCCTAGTTGGGAAGGTTCTTTTGTTTTCCAGTGCTGCCAATGACTAGGAAATAAATCTGTCTGTCTATCTAACTCTGCAATTTTATATTAGGAAGTCCATGTCCTTGTTATTAATAAAGGTGATATTTTGACCTCCATCTGCAGACTCATTGTATTATTTCCCAGTTGACTTGGAACCATATGGGAAGAGTAGTATTAATTACTGGACCCCCTCAAAATCCCAAACAATTTTTACTAGTAATATTATCACATAAATGGAAATAAAATTGTAAACGACTATGATAGAGTTTTGGTTATAATTAAATTCAAAGTCATAATAATGCCTGACAGATCCCAGGCGGAAAGAATTCTAGTGGTTCATATATTTTGCATTCTCAAAGTACAGCACAGGTGAGTTAAGGGACAGAAGTCTACATTCCATCACCACAGGAGCACAATGAACAAAGGGTGCTATTGTAGATGAGACTGGTGGGAAAATGTCTCATTACAATGGAAGGCTCTGATTCTTATTATATTTATCTAAGAAGAGGAGGACACTATTGGATACATTCAACAGATAACTACAATGTTTCTGTTGTTCTCCTAGCATGCTATGACCACAGGAGATACAATATAATGCAGCGTTTTATTGATCATTAATTCTATACAATCTATTTGTTTTAGGAGTAAGGCCTTATAACATGGAGATTCTTAGAAAGAGAGTTACAGCCTCCATGAGTCCTGACTATCTTCTTGCTGGTATACTTTAAATAAAACGTGCCTCTCAAAATTTCAAATCCTATATACCACTTGAAACTTAGTTTTTTTCATGCATACTTAAATCTCTTATTTTTTGGATTAAATACATTATTTCATGATGAAGAAAAGCATCACTTTTATTTATTTTTTATTTATTTATTTTTTTGAGACAGAGTCTCACTTTGTTGCCCAGGCTAGAGTGAGTGCCGTGGCATCAGCCTAGCTCACAGCAACCTCAAACTCCTGAACTCAAGCATCCTCTCTGCCTCAGCTCCGAGTAGCTGGGACTACAGGCATGCACCACCATGCCCAGCTAATTTTTTCTATATATATTAGTTGGCCAATTAATTTCTATTTATAGTAGAGACAGGGTCTCGCTCTTGCTCAGGTTGGTTTTGAACTCCTGACCTTGAGCAATCCGCCGCTTCAGCCTCCCAGAAAGCTAGGATTACAGGCGTGAGCCACCTCGCCCGACCAGAAAAGCATCACTTTTATGGGTGAAAAAACTTTGTGGTAGGCCGGCCACAGTGGCCAAACTTGTAATCCTAGCACTCTGGGGGCCGAGGCAGGAGGATTGCTTGAGCCAGGAGTTTGAGACTAGCCTGAGCAAGAGCAAGACCACATCTCTACTAAAGTTAGCCAGGCATTGTGGTTCATGCCTGTAGTCCCAGCTACTCGGGAGGCTGAGATAGGAGATTGCTTGAGCCCAGGAGTTTGAGATTACAGTGAGCTATGATGACACCACTGCATTTTAGCTAGGACAACAGAGTAAGACTCTGTCTCAAAAAACAACAAACAAACAAACAAAAACCCCACTTTATGGTAGATATATTAACCTGGGGTTGATGGACCCCAGGAAATCAATAGATATATTTCAAAGTATTATATATTCTGAAATGTTGCAGGAAAAGTTGTGTTCATTTCAGCATTTTTCTTGGAGAGTACACAATTTATCAATTCTCAAAGACAGCTGGAACCCACAAAGGGTAAAAATTTCTGATTTAGAGATTTGAAGCACTAAGTTCCCATAGACTTCTCTTCTTTAAACTGAAAATTATAATGCTAAAAGTAGCTAGAAGCTTCCTGGTTGCTTTCCCCTAGGCCTATACTCCAATCCTGACATCACAATTAAAGGAAAATAAACTGACCTAATAACATGGAGAACTGAGTAGAGGTGAGGTGAACTAATAAATAGCACATGTAGATTAAGTTTGGAAAATGACATTGGTTCTAAATCACATGGAGGCAGTACTTCTGGCATGATAACCAGATCTTACCTAAAGAAATAATATTGTTTATTGAGAGTGGGAAGGAAGGGGGAGGTGGCAGAAGTAAAAAAAAAAAAAACAGAAACCAAACCCACAACACTAAAAAGGGAGCTTTAAGGCATTTAAGGAAGTTCATCCTGGGAAATGCCTCTATGGTGACCAGCAGTTTTCCATTTCCTTCAGGGTCATCAGAAATGACAGATGGAGGAAATTTCTGTCCCACAGGAGATTTTAAACATAAAATGATGGGCTAGGGAGTATAATTTCCTGCTCTATAGATGTTTGAGAATATTTCAATGAAAGTTCGGGTCCAGTTTAGATTTAGTCTAGTGCAAAGACAAAGGACGGCAGTCTGAACAGTTACCATGTTTCCCTGAAAATAAGATGGGGTCTTTATTTATCTCTCAAAAGCAACCTAGGGCTTATTTTCAGGGGATGTTATTTTCCCCTCAAAGTCTCAGCTTGCAGCATGCACAGGATGGCCGGACCTGACGGGGAGCCAACCTTGTTGGGGGGCCTGCCACCACCTTTCCGGTCACCTCTGGGATAGTAGCTGTCACGATGGGGCAGATGAGAAGGGCTGCTCATCGTCTTTACCGCTCTTGGATAAAATGCATGGGTTGTGCAGATACGCTGTGTAGCCACGCCCATCACTAGGTCTTATTTTCGAGACAGGGCTTCTCTTGCACAAATGCTTAGAAATCCTGCTAGGGCTTATTTATGGGTAGGTCTTATTTTTTGGGAAACACGGTATCAGTGCCTCCAGGAGAGCTCCTCTCTCTACTCTTCTTCCTTAGTTCATGATATTAAGAAATTCTTATTCACTCCAGTTGGAAACCAAGAAATCACCTTCCACTCCCTTCTTTCTAACCTCCATGTTAAGTTCCCATTAAATGTTGGTAAATTTTATATATGTATGTATGTATGTATTGATGATAGGGTCTCGCTCTGTTGCCTTGGCTAGAATGCAGTGGTGCAACTCAAACTCCTGGCCTCAAGCAATTCTGCCACTCAGCCTCCGAAGTAGCTGGACTACAGGCAGGCACCACCAGGACGCTTGGCTAATTTTTCTATTTTTTTGTAAAGACAGGGTCAGGTCTTGTTCTTGCTCAGGCTAGTCTTGAATTCCTGGCCTCAAGCAATCCTCTGGCCTTAGCCTCCCAAAGCACTGGGACTACAGGCAGGAGACATTGTGCCCAAATGCTGGTAAATATTACCTTCTACTCTGCAACAGGTACCCTACAGTCCAGCTACTACCTACCTTTCCCAAACATTCCACAGTTTTATAAACCTCTAAGTCTCTGCATATGCTATTCCCTCTATCTGAAATTCACTCTCCACACATTCTCTCCATTTGAAAAACCCCTGCCTCTATAAGACAAACCTCAATTCTTGACTCCACAGTGAAGCCTTTAGTAACTCTTACTCATCTGAAATTGCACTTATTCCTGCCTCTACTAGGGAAAACACCCAACACATGCTATAATGCCTTCCCCTCTATATTATGAGCTCCTTAAATGTAGAGATTTTCTATCCTTATCTCCTAACACTCTGCTCAGCACATAACAGTTTTCCAGTGTATATTTGTTGAAAGAATAGTGGAATAAGCCGGGCGTGGTGGCTCACGCCTGTAATCCTAGCACTTTGGGAGGCCGAGGCGGGCGGATTGCTCAAGGTCAGGAGTTCGAAACCAGCCTGAGCAAGACCCCATCTCTACAAAAATAGAAATAAATTAATTGACACTAAAATATATATACAAAAAATTAGCCGGGCATGGTGGCGCATGCCTGTAGTCCCAGCTACTCGGGAGGCTGAGGCAGTAGGATCGCTGAGCCCCGGATTTTGAGGTTGCTGTGAGCCAGGCTGATGCCACGGCACTCACTCTAGCCTGGGCAACAAAGTGAGACTCTGTCTCAAAAAAAAAAAAAAGAATAGTGGAATAAATGGCCAGCAAAGTCCAATTTTCTATTTATTTAATGTTGCTAGTTACATCAACCTATAGGAGTTTATGTCTAAACTCCCATAAACCTATTTTTTCATCTTTAAAATGAAATACACATTTATCTGATAGGTCTGTTCAGAAGATTAAGAGGAAATTTATTCAGTCAATCAAAAATATATGTATGTATGTATGTAAATGACATAGAACAGTATCTGCAACAGGGAGATGCTCCATAAATTTTAATTTACTATTTCTTTTTCTAGGTCATTGGATAAATAAAAATATTAATTAGACATTTATGTTTTTAAATGTCAGTAATCTTCAAAATGCCTGAAGCTTTTTAAAAACAGAGTCCACCAATTAAAAATGCATATCCTAAGAATTTTTAAGTTCTATAGATTCTGCCGGGTGCAGTGGTGTGTACCTGTAGTCCCAGCTACGTAGGGGCTGAGGTGAGAGGATCATATGAGCCCAGATATTCAAGATCTCCCTGGGCAACATAGTGAGACCCCCATCTCTAAAAAAAAAAAGTGAAAAATAAATAAATAAAAGTAAAAATACTATATGTAGATTCTGTGTCCCTGCAGAGTATGCAGTACAGGCAAGGACAGGTATATTTGACAAACAAAATACTTGTAGCTCTTACTTGGATGGCACAAAGGTAGTATATGTAATCTCCACATTTGTATTCCCATAATATTCTGAAATATATATATAGATAGATATAGATATATGAAAAAAATATAATACAATATGATAAGAGCTCTAATAGGGCTTCAATAAAGTACTGGAGGAATCTCAAGAGTAATGAAATAATAAAACAGCCAGGAAAAAATGTGCACAAAGAATAAAAAAAAGCCAGGTGCAAGAAAAAATATCTGCTAATGACTGACAGATTAAAAGAGGTTGCTCTTGGGAAAAGACTTTTTTGTAAAAGAAAAAAAAGGCCAATTAAAGTAGGAAATAAGAGTTAAGCCCAGGAAGTCTTCAGTTTAGATATATATTTGAAATTTTATATAATTTATTTGAGGCGGATCTAATGGGCAGAAAGAGCCATAAAAGGATGTTCTTTTAGTAAATTGACATCTATCTATTTATTTATTTGTATTTTAGAGTCACAGTCTTGTTCTGTTGTCCAGGATAGAGTACAGTGGTGTGATCATAGCTTACTCCAACCTCAAACTCCTGGACTTGAGCTATCCTCCCACCTTAGCCTCGCGAGTCTCTAGAATTACAGATGCATGCCACCATGCCTGGCTAATTTTTAAAAATTTTTTTTAGAGACAGGGGTTTTGGGGTCTCGATATATTGCTCTAGCTTGTCTTGAACTCCTGGCATGAAGAAATCCTCCTGCCTAGGCCTTCCAAAATGCTAGCATTACAAGCATGAGCCACCTTGCTCAGTTAGTAAGTTGAATTATTAATTGATAGATGATTATTATGGTATAAAGGATAGACGCAGTGATGAAAAGCAGTTTCCCCTCAGTCTTTATTAAGGAAGATAAATGGAAACTCCTGTCTCTAAATTTGACAAGTAGACTGATTAGATGCCAAATTCCATAATGGCCAATACTTAATAATTTTGAAATCAAATATATAAAGTAACAATATGTAAATTCATTGGGGCTTACCTGAGAATTGAATGAAGATTTCTTTTGCTATTCAAGGGTGAGAACTAAGAATCAGCACTTAAGATTTACAAGCCTTGTTATTTTCTTTTCCTGCTCTGAAAATTCTCCTAGTCAAATAAGGTTAAATCAACAGGCAGCCTGCAGGAAGAAGTCAAAGGCATCCTCCCTCCTGATTCTAGCCTCCTGATTCCACCCTCCTGATTCAAAGCATACAGTTTGCCCTAAAATGGCAAATCAAC